ATGTAATTAAAAGCAAAAAAATGACAGTTACCCAGGACCATAATAGCATACGACAAAATATTGGAACCAAATTTCATGATGAGTTTTTGCAATAGCACAGCCAATTAGTGCAGTGTCGGCCCACACAACCTGAAATAAAAGTACGTCTGATCAACGACAATTTTTATAATTCAGTTTATTTTATACTTATATCGAGTTTTTTTGTTTTTTTTGCAATATACTTAATATTATTCCGGGACCAACGGTTTGGTGTGCCTAATAAAGCACAGCAGAGCTTGAGATAATTAGTTTTTGGTCACCCATCCTAATACCGGCTCTCGCTAAAGTTGCTTAATTTTAGTATCGCAGACTGAACGCGCTAACCACTGTGTCATCGAGCTAATCCTTTTTTTTTTCTACAACAACTAAGGTATGACTACAAGAACTAACTAATGAACTAGCCCTCGATGAGTCACGAGATGGGTGTCCAAAACAAAATTATTATCTATAGCTACTCCGGCCTGCGGAAGGCATGTTAAGCCCTTGGTCCCGGCTGTACTTAAAATTCTTATAACCCTCCAATCCGCATTGGGCGAGCGAGATCTGATAATTTATGGACAGTGCGAGTTTTTTAACGTAGAGTTATATACTTTTTTATTTGTTTAACATAGAGTGTGTGATTTGTTAATCCACGTCTAGATTGGTCTACTACGTCACTGTCCAATTGTACATCCAAAGTCCTACAAAGCACAAATGGAAGTTTCGCGAATGTCTGTAAATATTGATTTAAGTTGGGAAAGATTGGTATTATGTTGGATGGTCGGGTACACTTTCTGAAAATAACATAAATCACAAAAGAACAGACTTAACCTGTGTGTAGCGGTGTTGCGATTGGTAGGTCCCTTTAATTTTGCCAAACTTATAGTCGGGATGTTGTTCCTCAAACCACGCATTTAAGGCTTGGATGGGAGAAAACTTGTGGATTCGGTTTGTGGTTGAATAATGGTACATATTTTCTCCAGTTTCAAATCTATTTGAAGCTTTATTAACAGAAAAATAGGTATAATCAACAGATATTATATGACATTACATAAATTATCCAGCAGTACAATTCTGTTAAAAATACGTCGTCGAAAGCTTCATTACTTTTTATAGTAGGATTTATTTGACTGAACCTCTAATGCTGTGATAGCGCTATGTTCGACATTGCATTTTTACAGAAAATCAAAGCTGATACCAAGATAGTTACTATAGTCCTAATATTATGGAGTATCTGTAAAAAAGTTCTACAAGACCTTGACTTGAGAAGTCCATCTTCTTCTTTATGTATTTGATTTTCTATATAAGCTGACCGGTAAACCAATTCAGTACCTCAGAAATGGCGACTCCTCGAAACCAGCATGTGAGCCACTCAACAACGGATATCGATTGTGATAGCTGTTATCATTAGCATAGCTTTTTCTCTACTTATTGGTTTTGGTTTAAACTAGTGTCATTATTTATATAAGGACGCCAGAGGAGCGACCGTCTAACCCTCTATCTCTCTCTATTACTCTAGCCATAGCCATAAGACCGTTTTATTGATTTTATCATTCCGTATGTTAGTATTCTTTTATAATTTTATCTTTTTATTTTTAATATATAAAATCAAACAATTTGGCTTAATTTTCTTTTAAAGTAAAAAGTAAATTTAGTCTGATTACATAATTTAATTGATTAAATATTTATATAATAAAACAAGAACATTACAAAAGAAAATAAGCATTTGATAAAACAATAAAATGTTGTTATGGCTAAAGTTAAAGCAAGTAATAACTAAGCGGTCGCTAAGCTGCCACTGCTTAAAAAACCAGGACGTTTCTTGGAAAACAGGATGGTCAGAACACTTTAAATTTAATTTACTCACAAGCATCGGCTGTATTGTGTTCTCTTTTGGTAAACCTCATATTTCTACTTAATTAATAAGTTTCTATTATGTTTTTGTTATTATTAAATTCTTTCTTACCAACAGTTTTGTCTGGATTTACTTTATATTTGTTAGCGGATGCCCACTTTGCTGCCTTTGCAGCTAATTCATGATCCCATGTCTAAAAAGTTAGGAAAATGCACTGCAGTTTCTTTATCTATATCATGCACTATTTATTTACTAAATTAATATTATATTGGCTGGAATTTAATAATCATAAAAAATCAATGGAGCATATTTGGATTACCAAAGTAATAATAGGTTGGGGAAAAGTTACTTCGCATTTTATATGAAAATTCAAATAATTTTTAATAAAGTTTATTTATATTTAACTAAAGTATGTAGGTACCATTTTGTATGATAACTCTTTGCCATCTTGTAGGTGTGACATGCTTCTATTGCTATAGAAATTTTAGGGCTTCTGATCAAAAAACCGCGACAAGTGGTTTTAGCAGTCCTCGCGTGATTTTAACCTACCACTGCCTAAAGAATTCTCAAGAGGCCGAAACAGGTGGAAATCGGAAGGTGCAAAGGGGCTATACAGCTGATGCATTAGCACCTCCCAGTCACTCTCTTAATTTTTAAGATGTGCAAAAGATGTGTGAGGTTTACCGTAATCATGATGGAAAACCACACCCCTTCTATTGATTAATTCTGGCCGCTTCTATCAGATTCTTGCTTCAACCTAATCAGTTGTTCATAGTAGAGTTCAGAATTAATAGTCCTGCCTGGCAGTAATAGCTCATACTTCCCTTCCAATCCCACCACAGTAAAAGGATCACTTTGTTGCGAGTTAAAACGGGTTTCGCCACTGTCTGTGCCATAGACTTTTACCACGACCCCCTTCGCACGTTCACAAACGTAGTAAAGAATCACAAATGAGTGCAAGGTTCATTAGGTTTCTTCCAGTTAGCTCGTGAGATACCAAAATATCCAACTTTGTGTGAACCCCAGCTTTTTTCAAATGCGGCAAAACTATTTTGTGATCAATCCCCAGTTCTTCAGCTATGTCGTAACTACCGATGTTATTCCACTTTTTCAGAAATGCCATCTATTTTATCCGTTACAGAGCCACCAAAACGACTTGCATCTTTGACATCAAAATTTCCCTACTGACAACGCTTAAACCAAATTTGCGCTACTCGCACAGAAACTGCACTAGGTCCATAAACGTTACCATTTTTTTTACCCGGCTTGCGTTGCATTTTTACCTTTTTTGTAATACAATTTTAAAATGTATCGAATTCCTTCATTAAATTCACTCATTTTGACAGTAAGAAATCTAAATTTGAATTCGGAGTTATCTATCTTTAAAATGGAAACTTTTTAATGATACCGAAACCTGCCAGATGCAAATGGTAAATAGCCAAAAAGATTTTATTACAAGTTTATGCATACTTTATGCTAAAAGACTTTTTCCCCAATCTATTAGTTTGAGTAGCTCGGTGATCCAAAAATTACTATCTCGGGCACGTTAAGCCGTTGATCCCGGCTGTATTTACAGTCGTTAATACCCTCCAATCCTCAATGGGCCAGCGTGGAGACCTATTAGGAGGATGCTCTTTAACCATCCACCAACCATAATTAGTAAAGGCATGAATATCTGCAGTGGGAATAAAACAGGGCTGATGATGAATGTATTTAATGCACGCCTAAAATTATTAATTGCACTTTAAAATATGATTTAAAATAACTATGTAAATAGGTAAATTAAATTAGTTATATTGTAGTGTCCTGGCTGCGTCTGCATAACACTATATCCACAATTTGCATAGTTCCCGCGTGGAGGTTCATGGACCATTTGTACCACCTGCTTTTATACCCGACACTACAAATATTATCTCTATACCGCTAGATCGGGCCTTGGCTTTTGCTACTGAAGGCAGTATGGTCCCAGTTATGATTATGAAAAATTTTAAGTAACGCAATCTTTTCGTATCTTACTATATACTGCATATTAATAGCTGCCGGCTGATTTTTCACTTCGCCTCTAGCCACGAGTAACCGTCTCACATTATGTCCGTCAACAAAACGTTTGATATCATCACAAGTCAATTCGAGCACTAAAAATATATAATACTTATATGTACATTGTTAAAGTATAGTAAAAAAACAATATAATAATTATCCTATTATCCTATATCTATAATATATAAAGCTTAATTTAATATTTTAAATGTGAAAGTTTCTTTGTTTGGATGTTTGTCGGTCAATCACGCCGAAACTACTGAACGGATTTTGATGAAATTTGGTATACAGATAGGGTATTAGCTGACTTAGATAATAGGATACTTTTTATCCCACTTAACATTTCCCCAGGGTCCACGCGGACAACGACATATAATGAGAAATAGAAAAACAAAAGACGACCTAAATCCTTAAATAGCAAAGGAATGGGTCAGCGAAACAGGGTATTATAAAAAAAGGATTTAGTCTGTTTTCCATTACTTGACTCCGCGTAAATTGAAGCCTATGTCATCCGTAAGTGACGTAACTTCTTGCAGTTGAAAGAATTTTTAAAATTGGTTCAGTATAGTATCGGAGCAAATTCGATGCAAACAGACAACCATTAAAGAAAATATCTCTACTAATATTAGTAAAGATAAATAACTTAATATCAGAAATCAAATATTAAACAAATAACTTGCGTTTGCTCTTGATGCTACTGATGAAAATGCAGAAAACAATCGTCTTTAATTGCATCTCGTGTCAACACATGGCATACTAATTGAAAACTGATTTTTAATTAGTGAAAACAAATTTAATTACTCTGCTCTTGAGTAGATTGAATTATTTCAGAGTTCAAACACAATTAGAAAAATATAAAATCGCTCGAAAATAAGTTAAAAGTTTGTCTTTTTATGACCCAATTTTTTCTCTTGATTTATATTCTCACAGTTATTATTAAAAAATCAGTTTAAAAATAAAAATCAGAGACATTTTTTTATTACCATATTTATTAAGTACATTTACATTTTACATAGTTTTTTTACAAATTTAGTTATAGACGGTTAAAGCTTTCATTCACTAATTTACATTATTTTAGTTAATTTTATCAACATCTTGATCCATATGGTCGTTTGCATTTGTCGCTGTTAACACAAATCAGTCTACGTTTGCTATTGGCCATAGCTGTTTTATAAGGATGATACCCCAGTATATTGCCACTGAAACAAACAAGTATTAAAATGTAATTGCTATGTTTTATAAAATTAAATTACGTAATAAATATTTTGGTCAATCTCTTTGGTATAACAAATTGGTTTATATAAATGAGTTGTTTGATGTAATCTAGATTCAGACTTTATTATTTTTAATAAATATTTTAGTTTTTAATTTAAAATTATTAATAGTATCGTATCACAATAGTTACTTACGCAGGACCGTAATTGCAAACGACGAAGTGTTTTGTCCACCGGCCCTCTGTAAACCGGGATACAGCGCAACCAACATGTGTTGTGTCCGCCCAAGCCATCTGAAATAAATCCATTCGTATATTATTAATGCGAAAGTAACTCTGTCTGTATGTCTAGAACGTTTTCACGCCTAAGTGCCACGTCAGTACCTACTCAGTGCGGAAGTGGCGGTGGCGCGAAAGAAGCTTCTACCGATTGTTGAATATGTTTGTTCCATTAAATGAGAGTCTAAGTATTTTTTTATGAAATAAATACTTATAATTCAGTAACAAATAAACTTTCAATCGTTTCAAAACTCTTTCTTGGCACTAATTTTCATACCATTTTCGGAGATCTGCTGAATTACGACCTTGCAATCTAAGCAGTCTCCTTTTTAATAAGAATTAATTAAGAATTAATTATTTTGCTAATTTTAAAGTATTTAAACACACCTTTAATATGTGTCACTATTTTTTGTACTTTAAATTGCCCCGCCACCAAGTGTTTCAGCGCCTTACCTCCGCACTGGGTACTGAATGTAGTAGTACTTTAACTATTGAAATATCAAGCATTAAAAAGCTCTTGTACATTTTTGCCACATACGTTTAGACTATAATCAGTTTCTCAAATAAATGTAACTTATTATTTAAAAGTTACCTGTGTATAGTGTCCTATTTTAGGTGCATTCGCTGGTCGTTGCACAATCGGTCCATATTTGTAGTCTTTGTGTTCGTCGTCAAACCACGCGATTAGAGCTTCTTCGATCGTAAATCTACGTTTAGGATCAGTCGTCGAAATCCAATATAGATTTTCCCCAGTAACAAACCTCTCGGATCCTATAAAATGTGATTATAATTAACAAATAAATAACACTTATTGCAAAAAAATATTGAAATTTTATTTACCGATCGTTTTATCAGAATTGTGGTTATCTCTCCAACTGGATGCACATGCCGCAGCTTTCCCTGCTAATTCATCATCCCATATCTATGAAGGAAATTAAATCAGTTTTATATATTGTTTGTAGTTTTATCGTGTTAAAGTTTTAAAAGGAGCGAGCTTAATAATTATACTTAAAGTTAGTTTCTGCAGTTTGTCTGCAAACTATAATATTCTACTTACTATAAATTTCATATCGTCTGCAGCTGGTTGATTTGGCACTTCCCCTCTGGCAATCTTTTGCCGTCGTAAATTGTGTCCATTTACAAAAGCTTTTTTATCTTTACATGATAAAGGTATCACTGAAAATTAATAAAATCACCTTAATACCTTAGATTATATAATCTAACAAGCTAAGTTCAAATTTTTACTGCCTACCTAATGAATTCAAACTCTTAAATTCAAATTCAATTCAATGAATAAAAAGTGACATATAAAAATAAATATAAGAAAACTTACAATTGGCTTGAACGCAGTTAAAAAAAGCAAAAACTATGACGGCGTAAAGTTGCATTTTGTAATTTATTTTATTTTAAAATATACTACACGTTCGATTAACGATTTCGGCACCACTTTCTCATATGGTATAACAAGTGGCTATAGAATAATTGACACAACTAACTAGGTAGTTGTAAACTTGCGTATATATAGGTATATATACGCAAGTTTAACTTTAGTGACTAAGAGAATAATCCCTGCTCCTGTTTTCCGGCTAATTAGCGGCTTCAATGGCAGAACTGATAAATCCAATGTGTATTTACTGAGAATAGATTTATCTTAGATTTTTTTACTCAAATCAAAGTTAAATTTTTTGGGGAGCAAGGAATTATTCAATGAAAACAAACAGACTATCCAATCTTTCCTGTTTATTATAGATTATATTTATAGTATAGATTTTCAGAGGAGGAGCTCAATAGATCAGTTGGCTCGTTTGGTTTGCGAGTAACTTTCACAAAGGCCGGTCAAAGGACTTCAGAGGGCACATTAATCGATTGCTACTGCAATAGTTAATACCCATAATTCGAGACTTTTATTGTTAAATAATAATAATATAAAATCAAGTTCATATTTATGTGTCCTTTTTAAGTAGCATAGCAAATATATTTGCACGCTTTGATGACAAAACCTAGATACCTCCATTTAGATACTGCCAAAGCTCCTAAAGCAATCCCAGCTATTGAAAATTGTATTTGGCTCCATACTTACCTACTTTAATGTAATGCAGCCCAAGCGATACGGTTCTCTTTATGATCCCACTCCCAGGGCCGCCACATCTCCAAGTCGGGCCCGGGACCATATTCCACCCCCCCCCCCCCTTTTTTTTTCGTAGCGCCACTTTTACTAGAGATGGATAGATATTTGTTAAAAAAACTATTAACCCTTCTCTGACTCTACTTCTAACCAAACTAATTCAGCCCCCTCAAATAAAAACATTTGAGGGGACTGAACTCTTACATCACTACCTTTATTCTACATTTAATTTAATTTTAATCAAATAAATAAAAGAAAGTGTAACTTAAGAATTGAAAATTCAAGTATTCATAATAAATACCAACCAATTATTTAATTACCAAGTAATTACCAACCAATTACAAAACCATAAAAATGCCATAAATTAGCATGAAACGAAAATTCTATATCCAATCAGTCATAGGATTTTATTTTAACTACTTTAAATACAATTATTGGTGAATAGAGGGCGTATTCAGAGAAGTTCCAATTTACTTATTCCTCAAAGGTACGATTGTGGTAGAAATTATGCTTGACTAAATTTTATATAATCATTAATCAACACATATAATTAACTTTATTTTAATGTTATGGACGGATTAACAAGGAAAGTCTCTGTATACAAGATGGCTGAAGGAATTAGTTAAAACAATCATTAAAACAAATATAATCTTATCAGGGCCCGTCAAGTGTAATACACTCTGTTTTATATAAGCCTAAAAATTCTAAAATACTTTATTTACTAAATACAGGACCAGATCGGGCCCCCCCTGGGCCCGGGCCCGAGGCAATAGTACCCACTTGCCCCCCCTCCCCCCATGTGGTGGCCCAGCCCAGTCCATTAAATATTTTGTAATGTTTGACACAAAAATAAGAAAAGACAATGCGAAATTCAAAAGTAATATTTTGTTTATTTTTGATTCTAAAAGTATTAATGGCCCCACTAAGTATACCTACCATTGAACTCCAAACATACTCCAAAGCACATTATTTTTCAATGTTAACTTACTTTTAGCCTCATACTGTTTTTAAGTGCTTTTCAAATATAGCGTTTCAAAAGTATTCCCAAATTTAACACTTTAGGTTTATTTTGATTATGTACATAGGTACCTACTTATCTATTATAAGGGGTCGTCCATAAATTACGTCATACTAAATTCAGGATAAAAATTCTACTGAAAATTGTTCTAATGCCACAGTTTGTCAACCCCCCTCCCACTTCCCCTTAAAGTGTAACGTAATTTATGGATGACCTCTAATAGCGTTCTCAAAGTGTGCTCTGCGGAGCACTAAGGCTAAATCAATGTTTAGGATCCACGAAAATATTGGTGTAATTTCATCAAATAATGATAATTTAAGTAAAATATGAAGGTATGTAATTCATTTAATTAATTTTACATTATACCTTGGTTTTGTTTTAGGACTCCGTGAAAAAATAAAATATTTGGTTTTCAAAAGGTTTAAATCGCTAAGAATGTTTGAGAGCTACTACAAGACTTATTTCATAGCGGGAAAAAGCATTATGGGTTCGAGTATTTTCCAAAGCTCAAATAATTTTCTAATGGATATGAGTTGTACCATATGTTCGTAGCGCCTGGCTTGTACACTGTTTAAACAAGGGATTAAAATAATTGCGTCCCTGAAATGCGCGTTTTCTGCGCCGTAGATGCTGAAGAAGCTGCCCCTCTTCTTCACGCACATTCAAGTTCGTGCACACGTTAACGCACCGTTCGCGCCGCAGTTGGAAAGATATTTTATTGTGTGCTGGATGTCTGTATCTGCTTGATTACGTGCATACGCACGTTACACGATCAACCCGTGTTCATAAGTCAGGTGGTTGCGTTCAAATCTCGTTTGAAATCTCGTGCGTATACGCGCGTGGCGTTTAAAATACGCCATGTGCTTAGGGCCTTAGAATGATAGTTTTCTACGGAATTGCTACCGTGTACCTTGTATTTATAGTCACCGATATTTGTGTGTGTGGCATACAGTATGCTTTTCATTTTAATTGCGAAAAAAACCAACTTAAAGCTGCTACAAATCAATGTAGGTAGTTACATATCTAAACTTTATGCATCCAAACATGTACATAATGTTTAATTACATGGAAACAAGGACAGTGTCGCTACTCGCATGCAGGAAGTGGAACAGGAAATTATAATTGCACCAGACAATTCCCAATATATATATGGGGTCGTGGTTTATTGTTTAGTCATAGTGGAATTGTCTGCCATGTACGTCAGTAATGTTTCACGTAATGTTTGCTCTACTTTCATAGATAATTTTCTTTCTTATTGGTACTCTCGTAATTACTTACTCAAAAGTATAAGGTATAGTAATGTGCCTACTCTTCATAGCTGTTTAAAATGACTCACTACTTAATACGGTCAGATTATAATATAGAGTACGTTCTTTTCATTCATATGCACCGAAAACGGTTTGTATGGGAGCGTGCCCGGCGTATGCGTTGTCGCACCCACTTTGCTTATTGGTATTGTCGTAATTTAAATTATTTAACACTTTATTGCACAAAAAAAAGTAAAAATAAATACATTGCAAGGAATAAAAAAAAAATTAATTACAGTTGTGCAATGGGCGGCCTTATCGCTGAACAGCGTTTTTTACCAGGCAACCTTTTGATTGATACTGGAGGCAGGTGATTGTGGGTCGTGCACAAAGTTAGGGAAAACATCAACTAAATATATAAAATAAAAAAAATAATAATAATATACATAAAAATAATACCAATAATACGAAGTAGCCATCATGAGCAGAAGATACCGCAAGCTATAAGAAGGAAGAATAAAGGATTAAGATTTTAGAAATATGCCCACCAGACAGAAAATGTGCTTTTACTCTAGATTTAAATGAGTAGAGCGACTGTGAGCGTCTGATATCTTCGGGCAAAGAATTCCTCAATCGAGTCGCCTGTAACGTAAACGATTGACTGTAGAATATTGAACGGTTTTGAGGAACCGAGAGGCGAAGACTGTCTAATTAACTACTACTCAAAGTGAACTATGTATAACAATGCACCTAATCTTCATACCGTTATTAGTAGTTACATAAAATGTTACGTGTAACATATTTTTAATTGCCCGCTACTTGCGTGAGTTTGCAATTTGCATTTTTTCTTTGGTACTACTACTACTACGTCACTGACACGTGCGTTTTATAATATTTTCAGTAGTAGGAATGAAGGCATATTTTTTGTTTTTGTTATTGTTAATGCCGATATCAATTTTGTTGAATATCCACTTTTCGAGTACAGAAAACAAGGTTTTAATGTAATGAATCTATTTTATGTTTGGTAGGATTTCGATACAGAAGCCGATTTTTTAAGTTAATACCCACGGGAGTTATTAATGTTTAATAGACGACTTATTCAGATAGCTTGCTAGATATTATACCTGAGTATTCAACAAACCAACCACGACACTAGACTGGACATTTGGGAATTTGGCATTTCGGGGATTGGACGTTACGATAAATGGGACAATATGTAACCGTTGGACATTTTGAGAATAAATAAGTGCAAAATATTTTTGATCCGATTTATTGTACAATATTGATATGATTATACATTCAAATTCAGTTCAGTTATTTTCAAATAAAACTATTGTATGTACGGTTACATTTCAGTCAGATTAATTTAAAACTCCGTGTAACAATCATAGTTGTATTACATCTAATGATCATCGTCCATTGCGCCGCCTGCACCTATGCGTATTATCTATCAATCTATCGAACTTGTGTTATGTCTGTTCCGCGCTCGATCGACGATTATAAAGCAACTGTGACAGGGTGATTTCGTAAAAAAAATATCTGGTACATCTTGCGTGTTCTTACGCCGTTGCCCACGGCTGAAACGCTCGCTAATCTGCATTGGTCCTAGGTAGTGGGTTATAGATCGTTCCCTGTTCTAGAGGTACATTGGAAAAGTCTTTGTTCCGAAATCAAAATCAAATCTCTAATAGGGAAGATGCCCGTCATTTAGTTAATAGAAAAATATTAGATTCGTATTTCCCTTTGCTTGGTGACTTAGATAATTGGGATTGAAATTGAGAGTCGCAGCTCACTACGTCACTACTATGTTAAAATGTACAGGGGTGTGACATCATGCGATATTTTAACTCTACGTATCGCCATTATTTAACGATTAGGTAAAGAATTTTTTAGTCTATACCTCCATTAAGGAGATTAAGTCGATGTTGCTTGTTCTTGAGTGATAACGGAGAGATGGACCACGATCACTGCGTTTCATAAAAATCGCAAAAGATTTACCGACACAACACAACACATATTACTCAACAATATGCTGTATACTCTAACAGTGTTATTAATAAACAAGGTTTAGCGTTGTAGTAAATTTACGCTGAGACTGTTCTTAGTATTAGTCAAAATTCATTTCATTAAACAGAGACTTAGCAAAGGTTAACCTTTTACGACTGTCCAGGGGAGTATTATTTACTCCTTAAAGGTAGTAAGTTTGCTTATTCTCTGTATAATATGAATTTGGACTAATACTAAAATTGCAATTTTAGCGTAATTTTACTCTGACGCTAAGCCTTGTTTATTGATAGCACTGTATTACATTAGTCTAATTCTTATACTCAATAACTCCAATGATAACATTTCAATGTTCAAAACTAAGTACTGAAATAAATTATGTCTTTTATTTATTTTTTAACAATTATAAAAAACAAAGGAAAATCCAATGTGATGACATCGTTTATAGTTCATACTGAAAAGAATTTATTGTGTTCATATATTAAATCGGTAGTAAAACATCTGGTAAGAAACATATAAATTTGTTTTCAAGTAATTGAATCTATACATCAAATTCAATTTAGAGTATCAAGAAGACATAGATGCTGTATTTTGATCTAATGTTATTCATCTAACTAATGTTGCCAATTAACTTAGTGAAGGCGTGACATAAATTTACTGGCACATCAAAATAATTTAAAGGAAATGGTCACACATTTTTAAAGATAAAACGATTGGGTATAGGGAATTCGTTGGGTTTTCTAGTCGCCAGTAGAGTTGATAAGTTCTTATATATTTGCTAGTCGTAGTTTACTTATACAAGTTTCTTCCGTCACGAATGATAGAAAAATATATGGAATGAGGAATGAGCCAATCTATGTACAGTCGACAAAATGTCACCACACAAAAGGAAAAATTTGTGCAATCTACTTAAGACCTTAATCCGTAGTTAGTTATGTTCATAATTGATTGCTTTTGAAGGAACCCAAAATGCTTATGCTTTTTGAATAAGCATTTTGGGTTTCTTACATTTATGAAAAATCTTAAAAGTTTTCAACAAGAAAAAAATATGGCTTTCTTCATTGCCACAACACGTTGTAAGCGTTTTCATTAGCCATAACACGAATTTCGCGTTGTGGCTGTTTTACTGTGACCACAACGCAATGGGAGCTATTTTTCGCTCAATGAGCCGTTTCTGTCTTTCATTGAGCGTAACAGATAAATTAACAGACTAATGATGATGGATATTTAATTTAGTTGTTATTAGATATAATGGGATAACAATTGTATTGCACTGCAATATGGTCTTTAGGACTATGAAAAAAAAAATCGATCAATTCGATATAGAATGTATCTGAATTAAAAAAGTGTTGATAATTGAGTGGTGCCCTAAGGGGAGAGCTCAAAATGGCTGCAAGTTCCCTTGATGAAATCACATGTTGGGGTTGTACTGCCTTATTTTTTCTATGTCCAGTTTCGTAGTTTTAGTACGCGTCTAAGCAGGAGGATGGGCGAGGGTGTAAACACAATACCAAGTTTCTGACCCGATTAGAAAAAATTGTAGGTCAGATCCTGATGCCGTCCCGGGCTCCCGACGAGGTTAGTCTGCCACTGAGGTAAACCATTATTCATATTTTATTATTGTTTTCAAAAAACAAAACAATTTCAGAGAAATTCGAGTTGCTCGTCGACCATTACGGTAGCGGACCATGAAACATTTGTTGATAGAGTTGACTTTATGGGGATATTTATTGGTTTCCAACCGCTGATTGTTTGGAATTTGGCTTGCAACTGCCTAGATGGCAGATGGAACATTGACAACAAGCGAGGTCCCCTCTGTTAGAATGCTGGTTTGCAACCGTGTGAATCACACTTAACTAAATAGACTGGACATTGATACCGTCGCCAAAAAAAAATCTTAGTTAATTATATTTCGCTACTTTTACCTACTGTACACAGACCCGGTCCAATTCCATACATTTGGGCACATCTCGTTACTCAACAGGCGAACCATTTCCTTCAGTTTTAAAATAGTACCGGTCATAAAACTACCTGACTTAGTAATTGATCTCATTAAAACATGGATAGTTACGTAATTATCCATGCCTCTAATGATGCCAGTCTTTGTTTGAACGGCAAATTCTTTATTTATTCTTTAATCTATATTTTTGCGTAACATAAATTTGTTACTGAATATTACAATTCTCGTGGCCCATTATCTAATCGCAATTATTTTATCAATAAAATATTTAAAATCATAATTCTCTTTAAAAAACATAATATTCGATTTAAAAATCACAATACTCATTTTTCTCAAGAAATCTCAGTTGAGTCCGATTAAAAACATACATTTCTAACAAACTTAAACAATGGTCAATGGTATTCATTCCCCCTACACATAACTAGTCACTACAACTGCATTCATTTTCTATGAACCTACTGAATAAATTATACCTGTAATTAGGCGAAATATTTAATAATCATAATGTTGCATTTTATAAATTACAAATTAAAATGTCATCAAATTGAAACCTACTTACGCTTACATTTATAAAAATCTACAAACAAAACCATTTGTAGAGTAAAAAAATAAGAGGAAAAATATTTTCCAGCTTGTCTGTATGGCTCAATTCACATTGATAAGAAGCTATGCGAAATATCGATTTACGTCTGACTTCCATAAATACTATTACAAAACTGAAAATTTGTAATTTCGCTAATCGGTCAGAGAAATTCAACATTTAGTTTTGCCGTCTCGTTTACACTTTACTAGAATGTCTTCTCATACCCTTTACACACCTAAGGGTTGAGTTACATGAGGGAAACACCGTATCGACTTTTTCGGTCGCTCAAAATCGCCATATGCTAGAGCGAGAAAGAGAGCGGGTGTGCGGGAACTTCGAGTTGGTAGGCAACACATTATCTTTCTCGCTCTACCAAAAGACGGTTCTGAGCAAAAGAAAGGGATACCGTCGCAGATAAGGCTTAATCCCAAGTCGAAGCACACAGAATTGTGCAATAATTTTATTTTATTGTTCCCGTGGTCATTATGAGGTAATTTACAAATTTACAAGATAAAATCTAGCTAAAACCTGTCCAATTGCGTTTTCAATGCTATAAAGAAGTAAACTTATTATACTATGGTATTCAGGAGTAATCACATGTTTTCGTACATGTAACTATGAAATAACGTTCATATACATGTTTTTATAGTTGTATAACAGAATTATCTATATAACATTTATAAGTCGACCCATTTGTTAATGGAAGTTTAATTTTTATATAATTACCATTATCTACATACCCAGTGCAATTCATTGAAACACCATTCAGACATAATTATTACGTTAGAACTAGGTATTTAAATGCCGGGTGTTATAATTATCTGACGCAACAATGCGCTTTATATTTTAATTTTGCATTACACAAATTTATATGTTACGTTAATATGTATAGAGTTCTGTATCATTTAAAATAAACAGTACTTATATATCGCGAGGTGCTTCACTTCCAACAGGTGTCAATGTGAATAGGCCCTATCATTAAAAAAATAATTTGAACTAATGTGAATTGATCTAATTGGTGCTTGGGCTATCTGTACCACTTCCACTGTTCTCTGTATTCGCCAATACTGATTTAGTATTCTTATTGTTCTTTTTGGCTGATTTGCTGAGTGTCGCCACTTCCTTCAATAGATTTTGTATCTTAGTGTTCATAAGATTGAACTTGGTTTCGTTCAATCGTTCCTTGTTCTTCATTTCGGTACGGAGATCTGTAGTGTTGTTATGGTGTTGTGCCTTTAACTCTGTTATCTGTAAACGACATAATTTTAATTAATATTACTTCTGACACATTTTACATTTGTTTTCAAAAATATCTTTGTCATTTAGTTATCATACCAGTTTATCTTTGGCAAGTAGTTCGCTGTCTTTTTGTGCCACTTTCTTCTGTAGACTGGCAATTGTTTCTTTAAGTTGTGTCATTGCAACCACGTGGTCTGAGCTATTTGGATCCAGTTCACCTGTATAATATGATTTTCCATTTATTAATCTACATGCTGTTTGGGCAGCCATTTTCACTGTTAATTCACACACTAAGAGTGTGAAAGATTCTTAAAGCATACAATAAGAACATTGCTAACAGGAATCACACACATTACATAATGGAGCAGTATTAAAAATTGATCTCAAAATAAAAGATCAGATTTCACTATGTAGATACATTTCTGCCCTGCGATTCCGTAAAAATCCGAACCCGAATTAGAATTCATTCAGGTGTCTGAATTCACTTCAAAAAGAGACATCCATTCATTCTTGCATTAGTAATAAAGTTCAGTGCCATAAGTGAAGTGAGTTTCGAATGACATAGAAATACAATATCTGAGACACCACATATAATCAATAAATTTTATTTTGTATGTTTATACAAAAAATGGAATCAATAGAATTTCTTCACTAAATGACGTGAGTGAATTCGATTTCGGGTTTGGATATTTATAGAATCGTCCTGCTATCCTGCAAAATTTGTAATTTTAAATCAAATTGTCTACGATATGCATTGCGATTTACTATCTGATGTAATAAAATTACTAAACATAAAAAAATATTTTTATTTGTTTTAAGCCCTGAAATATAGTTACTTATTGTTACATGTAAAGAAAATAAATTTATGTATTTGGTTCATTTTTGTTTTTCTATTTCCTGTCAAAAATTAACAAGTAATATGTCAAAGTATCTTTTTTAATATCTCATCATTGACTATTGACTTTTGCTTTGCCGGGGAGTTCCCGCATGCTGTATAGTGACAAAAAAACCAATGAAAATAGACAGTTAGTGCTCATAACTTTTGACTTCATTAACAGTTTCATTCATATTCCAGGAATGCAACAATATGCATTTATAAATTTTTTGTTATTATTTGTTCTATTTGGTAATAAATCTTAACAAGTCTTAACAGACTAAGAACTAAATTGATTTAGATTCATAAATAATAATCTACATTATGAACAAGGAGCTCAGCCAAGGCAACAGAGGAAGATAACAACACAATAGCATAATGCAAATGTTTACATTGTATTTTAACAAAAGGTCAGTTGTGTTTCTAATTAAATGGAATTACTAATAAGAATTGATAAGCTCACATAGAAACATTCTACCAATGAGTCTTAGAAATAATGTTACAAACCTTGTAAGGGATTTAACTTTGATTTCTTCTCTAATGGCTGAGAATCATTTAGTGATCCATCACTTGAATTAATTGATTTCATCATGTCAGACTTTCTTTTATCTTTGTGACTGCTTTTCGATCTACAACAAATAACATTTTTTAAATTTAGTGTTTAATGCAACACAATTTGTTGTAATATATACAATATTTTTAATTACTGACTTATGAGAGCGGTGTTTGTGTTTGTCGACTGCAGATAAATGTTGTTTGGTTCTTGCGAGAGCTCTTTTTAAAGATTGAGTGCAAAGCCAGCACAGGAGCTTTCCATCTACCTAAAAGTATGAAACAAATTGTTAGTATGTAATCTGCTCTGATTTAACTAGACAACAAAATATATACATACCTTTTTGCTATCATCATGACGGTCAAATGCACAGCGCTGTTTGCATTGTTCACAAGTAACTGCCGGACCATATTTTCTTTCTGAATTAACACATCGCTGACATTTATTACCTGAAAATGTAATAATTCATAAATTTTCTTAAAAAAAACACAAACAGATTAGAGCTATTGTAAGAGTATCCATTCAGATTAAGAAAAACTAAATTTGAATGAAATAATAAATTTGTTATTACATAGCAACTGGTTGCTAATATATAAAATTCACATGTCAAAGTTGAAATTAATGAAATCATTATATATTCAGTAGGTCTGAGAGTAGGTTATCTATTTTTTACCCCTTAGTGATAAAGGTGGTCCGCCCTAAGTTTATATGACAAATCAATGGTTAATCAGTCTTTAAAAACTAGAAACATTATCAAGTTTTTAAGCATCCATAATAAGAATAACTATAATTTGAATAATTATAGTTTTCATTTCTTTACATGTAAGATTACCTTTTAAACCTTCCCTGGACTATGACAAATATTTCAAAACATAAATCAACTCAATTGACTCATCCATTTGAGTTTTAGTGTGACAAATGAACAGCAATTTTATTTGTATATATATAATAATGTAGGAGTGACTTACCAATAAAAGCAGCAATGATATTGCAATATTCACAGGCAGTTGGTTTTCCATAAGCTTTCACATTAGCTTCACATTTTTTACAGATTGATGAAGTATTAGATTTACTGAAAAATATTTTTAACAAAAAATTATAACACTATCTTATTATCTACCTTTTCAGAGACACAACAGAATTTCTATAAATTAAGGAAGGATGAATTTATCCAATAACTGCCCTGCAATTGTGTAAAAATCCAGACCCAAATTCAAATTTAACCATGAGTCAAATTTAATGATGTGAATTCAGACACATTAATGAATTCGAATAGTTTTGGATTTTTCAGAACCGCAGGGCTAGTGCTATATCATATAATTACATGAAAATGTGATAAACAGAAAGTCATATGACTTGACCTAAATATACATTTTAATTCATTCATCTTAAATAATGCCTTGGCAACTAGCACTGACCTTGTTTGTTGAAACTCCGAACGACAGTACGTGCACTTGACAATGGGGAAGGAACCACGACATTCCTGAAAATAATAAGTAGAATGCGTCATTCATATAAATGACGTCAAAGTAACAGAACATGTTATTAGTTCTAAAAACATTATCATTTTATTTAGTCAAATTATCTGAGGATTAGGTTGAATACTTCGTACTTTTACAGAAAATAATATCACACCTTACAAAGTTGTTCACCAGGAGATAGTTCTTCGAAAGGGTGTCTTGAGAAACAACGCGAGCAAGCAAACAGAGGGGTAGAGGCAGCTGAACTCATATTAAGTTTTGTAAATAAACAAGTACATATAACAAAATAACACGTATGTTGTTGAATTTACCAAACAATTCTATTTGGCAGTAAATGAATGAAATTAGTTCAATGACGTCCAAACAAACTGTACATCAAGAAATTGAAAGATGGCGTCACCAGAAGTGTTGCCAACTGCCAACAACGTCTCAGTCAAATCCTCAGATGAATTAGAATCTAAAATCGACAAAATACCTATGATGGAATATTTATATACAATATCTCTGGTACTTTACGGAAGAGCGTTACAAAGTTTAAAATTATTTTTAAAAGTGATATTAAAATTTATTAGTACAATTTCTACGGGAGAGCGTTACAAAGTTTAAAATTATTTTTATAAGTGATATTAAAAGTTATAAGTATAATTTCTAAAAGTAAAAAAAATATTTATGAAAGTATTCGTGCTTATTTTTAAGAAAAGACTACTCAAGTAATTTTTCATAATAAAATCCCAACAATATAGTCTAATTGTTTACAACAGTTTTAGTATTATTAAGTATTTTTATGGTCGACTTTACATTCCGAAACTAGTGGTGTGAACCTATACTCCATTCATTATAACATTAGAAAAAAGAGGGTCATTTTATTTTATTTTCAAAATAAATTTAAAAAATATACATTATAGTTTTGTTGAAACTTTGAACGTTAGATAGTCTGAAAGAGCCGAGCATTTTCTATTTTTTACGATATCTCGGGGTTGAGATGAGGCCAGCATTTTCTAAATTCTTCTTTTACTCCCAAGCCAACATGGAATTAAAACTATCTATCCGTTGATTTGATTATAATTAGAATATAATTTAGTTATATCTATGCCCGGTAAAGAAAGGTAAACAAAATGAAATTTTTATTATTACTTTTATAACATTTATTCAGACATTAAACTATTGATGAATATGTACATTGAAAAAACTTCTTGAAATGGCAAAGGTTGGTAGGTATGGGGGCTTAGAGCGTAATTGTTGTAGGCCACTCGGGCCTGCATCGGCATCGTCCATATTTAATACAACTTAACAACAAAAACAAAACTAATATAAAACAATAACAATTTAATAACGGAAAATGGGAATACAACAAGAAAAGCAGTAGCATTCACAATGGATGACATTCCCAGATTACGTATTTTGACAATTATGAATACATCTTAATCTGACAAAATTAAAAAACTATACTGCCGAAACGTTTGAAAGGATTAGGCAACGTTTTAAATTTGGTAGAATAATAGTGACATTAGAATCGTGCCGAAACTATCCAACCCTGCTTCTTTGGGTTCTTTAAGACTAAGACTTTTTATCGTAATAGTTATTTAATAATTTAAGTTAATCGAGTACTTATAAATTTGTTTAATAGATTGCTTAAATGACAACTGTTAAGTATAGCAGCTGGTATTTAAGTGAATATGTAGTAAATTAGCCGTCAGTCTTAAGAGTAACATAATTATTGATATTTTGTCACAAAGTATACCATAAAAAGAACCTTATTCAACTTCTGTCTAAAGCTATAATGAATGGAATATAGTTCATTGTATTAATTTTACTGGTAGTTGACGTATAGTTTCGCAATGTATGCATAATTAGCATCATAACATAAAAAAGTTTCGTGTTATGATGAAAAATAGTGTCATGCAACTAATGAAAAAAAATTTGTTCCCGAAATCAAACTAGATGTCGCTACGGTACGTTCTTGATTTCTCCATGACAACTTTTCCGGTTTTCTTTTAAGTTTAAAAGTAAATTAGTTTTGAAAACTCTATATACAAATCATATTCTATTTGTCCTTTTTCGTATTTGTATTGATATCTAACTTTCGATCTTTTCAAATTTCAGTTTTTTAATATGTTTGTTAAAAGGAACGGAAATAACTATCTTTGATCCATTCGTTTCCTGCAAAAATCAACTTTTGCTAGAGTCGCCATCTAGTGGAGGTGCTTTTTAGTGCTTTGGTTTTTTTTAATACTTCCTCATTTCACTATGACTTACATGGACATCATCTGCGCAAAGTAAAGCTTCCATCCTGATAAAACAAATGTTTCAAGATACTGTTGATTTCATGCCATTACGAAACTAGTTTTAAATGTGCTGAAATTAATTTCATGAAATTTGTTTCATTACCAGCTCTATTAGGTCCCTACTGCAAGGGCTCAAACCTTGCCTCAAACGTCATAGTGTGAAATTGGTAGTGCTGAATAAATTAATTGAATGGCGCCATTTAATTAAAGAGCTAGCCGCCCGATTGGTCGGCTGATTATACCATTTGGCTGTAACGTAGATAAGCAAACAGTTGGTCCTGTGGTTAGTCCCAATGACCAGTTTTCCAATAGGTACATCAATTTCTCAACTAATGTTATATACACCGTATTTTTAACGCTTTGGCTTCTTTCACTGATTTGGTAGTATAATCGAATGAAATAATTACTTGAGAAAATATCATAATATAAGCTAATATATTTTTAAACAATTTGAGTGAAATGAAGAAAGATTTGTTATCAGCTAATATTATTAGTATTCTAACTTTTGAGAGTTCTCACTTCATCATCATTAGTTAAAAATATTTGCTTAAGTTATCATACATTTTCTCTTCGATCAAAATATTTTTTTAAAGTAATTAATTACTTCTCTCGACTATAGAAGACGTGTTTGCGTTTACACAAAACCGCCAATATACATTAGTGGTCTTTAAACGTAAGGTGACGATTTAGAAATATATACTTTTCGACATATTAGTTGAATAAAAATCCTAAACTCTAAGCGCCCGTGTGTTTAACTAAGTTAAAAGGGATGGTTAGAAAATATAAATAGTTATATACGTGGTTTATGATCTTTGAAAATGATAAATAATATCAAATAACAACAATATAAAATTCATCACTAGCAATACAGTTTGTATTTTTTTTGGTGTGATTGTGCGTACCAATTAGTAAAAATCTTTGAGTTTTAAAATAGTTATAGGATTTTTAGAACTATTGTGAAGTAATGATTTTGAATAAACTTCATAAAAATAGGAATTTCAATCCAATATGAATATTCCGCCGTTCCCATCACAGGATCTGGCAAAGCTGGTGCTTGGTATGTTATTGTATGGCGGGAATCTATTCTCTAACGGAATGATTCCCAATGTTAGTTAAAAATTATAGTGTTAATATTTCTGGACTTTCAGGATATCTGGCTGAAGAACAGCTCATGACAGCCTATGATGAATTTCTTCAAGCAAGTCCTTACTTGAATGCATTTGGGAATGAATATGACAGAATATTTATGACATCTTTGAAAAACATTCTTGCTGAATATAGGGCAGTAAAAATTTATGGTTAGTTTCTAATAATCTGCGAGCTAATTTTGAGTCACTTAATTGAGTATGGATTCTATCCTATAAAAAATACTCTCATTACAATGGTATATCTTTTGCGATGTTTCAGTGGAAATGTGTAAGCCAATTGCCCTTAGGAGAAAATTATTTCAGTGTTCCAATCTGCACGAAGTGGTGAAATTTTTGATTCAACATGTAGACATAAGCAAAATACTACAGGAACCTACTCAAAGTAAATGCAGGTGTGGTATAAATTTACTATTGCTCATTGTCAACAATAATATAAAAGCTGACTATAATAACTTTTGATTACTCTCATTAACTTCTTGCTGATTCTTAATGTGTTAGAAATATGTATTTGATTTTCAATTTTATGCAAGGAATGGTTTTACTAATTCACTGATAGCTTGTTTAGTAGACGATCTTGCTTAGAATCTTGTGTTAGGTTATCATACCTATTTGATAAGTTATACACCAGTTGTTTACCCTTCATTCTATATATTTTTAGTGTTGAGAAACAAACAAGCAGTGCAAACATAAACACCTGTGAGGTCTGCAAATCTTTAAAATTGGAAAGCTGTTCTTGCAATAACAAGAGTTCTCATATATATAGTGGTCAAATTGATGATCACTATAGTGGATCTGTTTTGGACAGCTCTGTTGAAGACACACCTTTATCTGATTTAATAGGTAAGTTTTTTATTGTAAAGTGCTAGGACTCATATTGACAAAATTTAGTTTAAAGTATGTCAGGATCTAAACTCAATTTAATTCAAATTAAACCAATGTTAGCAGTATCAATGCTGGTATTCTTAATCTATTATACAAGAGTTCTGCTTTGTAATGATAGCAGAAGAAAGATTTGGAGAAATAGGAAAATATAAGATTGTTATAGAAAACATCAATATTACTAAATTCCTATTAGAATCTGACCAATTACATTTTTTTTTAAATTATTTTGCATGAAATAAAATTGATACTGTCATACTAATATAATAATTTTAGTTATATAAAATAGTTAAAATGCAATTGCATGTAGAAATCTGATAAAAAAAGAAATAACTTACTTTTTAGGTAACCGTGTCACAACAAAGAAGATTGTATCTGATAACAATACAATTGACTTAGATTCTCATGCTGCATTCAGTCCGAGATTGGTGACGTCTAATGTGGTGTCTGAAAAATCAACATTAAATAATAGTACCTCAACCAATACAAAAAATAAGGAGTCACAAAAAAATGTCTCACCCGTTGATGATACTTTAGTAAGTTTAAACATTACTTTGATTTCTTAACCATGAGTTTAAGAAAGTTGATTGATGTTGTCAAACATTTTGTATCTTGCCTCTTTGATTAAATTTAGGTAAAAAACACAGATCCACATCAGATTAAACAAAAAGATGAATTACAACACATATCAAATCAAGTTTGCCACAATAACCAAAGTGGATCAAGTTCTGATGTTAATAATCCTAAATCAATAGGAGGATACCATAATTTTGCAACAGGTGTCAATGGTAAGATTTTATTATTTAATAAAAGTATTTTTTATTAAAAATATTTTAGATATTGTATTTTAATCAAAAACATGTTTTAAGGGGAGAGCAGAACAATTATTGTCCCAGATTCCAGTACCTCAGAAAAAGTATATATTCAGTAAGTATCTAAATCTCCATAATTAGAAATACTTGTTATATGAATATTAATAAATAAAGTGTGATTATTGATTTTTTATTAACATTGATTTCTCAGAGTACCTGTTTCTGCAGATAACAGTGTCACTTCTAATTTAGCTATTTTCAATAAAATGAAACAAACTAGAACACAGTATTTACTCAAGGTGGCACATGTTAATAATACATTGAAACCAAATGAACTAGTTTCTATAAGCACAACCACTAACAACTGTTCTGTTCCTACAATAAAACCTAAAACTGATGAAAACAAAGTGAAGATTTTATCAGATGTTAAGGTGGATAGTTCATTTAACAATAATGAAGGCACAATGAAAATGCCACAAGTATTAAAAAATGCTACCTCAACACCTTTATTACAAATGCAAACTATTGTTATTAATGGAACACCAGTTTACAGACAAGAACCAATAGTTGATAAAAAATTAAATTACACCAAAGATGAAATTATGGCTATGCCCACAATTATCCTTGCACCAGTACCAGGTATTTTATGAGTTTATCATTAATTTATTTATTATTTATAGAAAAAAACATAAACATTTGTAGTTTGTTAATATTTTTGTACACAATTCTAGGTCCGCCCCACCGTACCCTCACACAGACCGAAAATCACTCAACAAATACAAACAAAACTACTGCAGCACGTTCTTTATGTTCCTTGACAATTGACGTTGATCATCCTGAACAAATCAACAAAGATTCTAACAAAACAACTGAAATAGATAAAAAAGCTATTGAAAAAGAAACCAGAGATGATACTATACCAAAAACAACAGATATAACGTGTGCGTCCGCACCAAAAGATAACACTGTAACAGGAACAACTGAAACTAGCACACCACAAATTCTGCCGCCTAAAAGAAAATCTTCATCAACTCCTCGCCGATCGTCTCATGTTCGAGTTTTGGATTTTACTACACCTAGAAGAATATTACATGAGACAGCAAACCAATTTGTTGCTAAAGGTAATAATGAGCCAATAGTTGTAAGTAAGAAATCCCTTGAGGTTAGTAATTCATTTCAAACAGATACAAATTTGAAAAATGCTGATAAATGTACTGGTAGTGAACTATCTAAAGAGAATGAGATTAAGAGTCGGGCTGTTTGTCCTAAAGCATCTAATTGGGATGCAGATCTTCGCGTTTTGGCGGTAATTCCAGAATTAAGTGTAGAAGTTACCACTCCTAAGCCAAAATCGACAAAGAAAAAGAAGCGGTCCAAAACCTCGCTCGTTAAGGACGATAACAAACAAAGCACTGATAAACGTATCGTTAAAAAACGGGCAAATAAAGACAAATCTACGAAGAAATACATACCCGAACCTATTGCGGACATAGATATTTCGACAAATAAAGTTCCTGCAAAACCGACGATTAATATTATTACTGTGACTGATGTTACAACTACTAATTGGACAGCAACTGAAAAATCTCAAACTGTCAAATCTAATGATGAAAAAGTGAATACCCCTGAAATGGAAAAAATGTCTTTACAGAACGAAATTGGTGCTAAACTTAATATTTCCGATTTTTTAGAAACCCCATATAAACAAGCTCTTTATGATATACAAATGGAAACACCAAGATTTATGGCTCCTGATATACCAGGAGATCCTTTGTCAGATATAAAAATTATGAATATACCCACTCCAAAATTTTTAAATGCTCAAACTCCGTCATCTTATTCATCTCGTCCAACAGATTATTCAAGTGGAGGTTCTTATTATAAACCAGATGATCAAGATTATTTGCGAGTTACAGATGATTTGCTTTGTCCTGTAACTTCTTCAGTTAGTAAAGAAAATAAGGGTTCTGATGTGTCAAATAATAGGGAAGTAGATTCTAGTGAAAATAATCACAAAAAAAACGATAAGCCATGTCGACCAGTTAGACAGTGCAGGAAAAATGTGTCTTACTACAGCAATTCCAATTCGAATATTAAACCAAAGGAAGTAGACAACAACATAGATTCTTCATTCAGTGACGTAACAGATACTAGTTTTTGTGAAGCTAATACAGAAAAGGAAGCAAAGAATAAAGAAAAATCTACTCCGAAAAATAGGTCCAATATGAAAATGCCAACAAAGTATCGAAGATCTCCTCTTAAAAAAGAAGTTTCGAAATCGTTTATGAAAATAAGACCACGACGTCCGACGCCTACCAAAAAGGATAACGCAAAGAGAAAAAAGAAGACTCCAGAAAGTTCTAAAGTTCAAGGACGGAAAAAGATAACGAAACAGCAAGAGGAAAACGTTAGTACACCAGTTATTGCTTCAGCTCCAACCAAATCTCGCAGGAAATCATCAACTCCGCGAAAATTACATTGTACCAAATCATTTAATTCTAAAACTGATGGTCACGATTCCCCCGAACTTTTGGCTAAACCAAAAGAAAACGTCGCCGAGTCAAATGTAATATCTACACATGATTCAGATACTGAACAGCTACCATTGCGATGGTCTGATGATGGATCTCAAGATGTAAAGTCAAAGACAGAGTCCAATCCTGTTAATGAAAGTGAGGATATCAAAAAAATTCAAGAATATTTAAATAATGCAACCAACAGCAATGAATTGAAAGAAGGATGTTTACATATTGATCTAGTAAAAAGAGGCTTTGATTTAGAAACCGCCAAAATCATAGAGCGTGAGTTGCTGGATACTTCGCCACATACTACAACAGATTTTGCAATAAATAACGTAGTTACACCTGAAACAAAAACAGAAATAATAGAATGTGTGACTGAAAGTAAAAGTGATAATATTGTTTTAGAAAAAGCTTTAGAATCTGATTGTAGCATAAGTAATAATTTACAAATAGTACAACAGGATGAAGAAGAAGATGATGATGTAATTGAATTATCAGTACATGAATGTAATGAAGATACACCAAACTTCTATTTGTTTAATCATGACGACATTACAAATACCCCTCGTAAAGAATTAGTTAAGTTGAAAGACAAATTCTCAATGGAAGTATGCTTAGATGATGATTTGTCAATTAGATTGCGAGTTACACCATTTAATTTATTACTAGATCAAGAGCCTGATGTAGCTTTACTTGGCTTTGATGAACAAGAAACTGAAATGGCGGTACGTTCAATATCTAACATGGGCAAATTATTCACACCAGTAAAAGAATCTATCAAAGCTCAATGTTATGAGATTTTCGATTCAACATTAACTAGTTTAGATACTCCTTTGAAGGCAAGGAGTCCAAAATTTAGAGAGGAAGTTACTGTTACAGAAATTGTATTAGAAGTAGAAAATATCGACGTCAAAGAAAAAGTTGAAACGAAGAAACGAAAAAGGGCACAGAGTAGTAATTTATCAGAAGAAAGTGAAAGTAAAAAGGCGAAGCCAGAAGCGCAATATCTTCTCAATTCAGCTAATATTCAAAATATAGATATTGAATCTGTGTTAAGTAAATTACATGGGCCTTAATTGTAAAATTGCCAGCTTTCTTAATTTATTATCACATTACAACAAAGTTGCCAATTTTTTTAAACCTTGATATAATCACAATACTGTTACAGTGCCAGTTTAACTATTAGTTTATGATTTAATGTCTGTAATATAGTAGTTTAAATAAGTGACTGATGTCGTTATTAATTTATATTAAATTGTGGATTCCATATTGCTCCCATACAAAATGTTGAAAGTCTTTTCTTTCTGAAAATTATTAGAGGGGAAAATTATTTCAAAAATGACCATTTAATCAGTTTTATATAGTAAACATTATTTCTTATACTTCTATGCACATTAACTATTTAATAAAGCAGCTTTGGATCTGTTTTCAGCGATGATTATAACATTGTTACATGTTTTAGACATGTCAACTTCATTACAACAATGCTACATCTGAATGTTTTTTATAGTTTTACAAGGTGAGAAGACATTTTACAGTTGTTTTATTAAACGAATAATACGGTTTCATAACTGAATGCATATTTCCAAAGTTCTATTGATACAGACTAATCATGTTATTTTTGACACAAGAAAAAATTAGATTGGATTGAATTAAGTATTCAAGTGAGTAATTTGGAATGGAGCATATTGTACAGTAACTTAATTAAGTCGTTAGATATCTGTATTAAATATACCTGTATAGATATATACGTATACGTTAGATATCTGTATAGATATATGTGTTGGACACATAAGTTTTCTATGAAGGTATTATGATTAATTTTCGTATGTATAAGATTATGAATGATGAGGAAATGTTGTATTTCTATTTTGAAGGTGTATAAGACCAGAAAATGTTACCTATATGATATGGTTCGATATAAAAAAAAAAAACACCTCACAAAGATATTGTTTTATTTTCATATTATTAACCCTTGAGCTACCAAGAGACCTAGAGACTGACGGACTGATGATACGATCGCATGCTTGGTCTGCAGCGGACAAACCTACCCGAGTACCTTCTTAGATAATTGGATATATCAAAGTCATCAGTATTGTATTTAGCGTGATTGCAGAGTCAAAAAAGGTTAGCTTTTATGATAACTTGTTTAAGATAAATGATTGATTAAGTTACGAACTGGAAAGCTTTCGATGCGACATCGTCGATTATCAGTTATTAGCGATTGGGTATGCCATTTCTCGTGAATCCCCTACCATAAAGAGGGACATCGATGGGTTTCAATGGGTCCAGGATTTCGGTGGACCACTAATTAAAATTGTTAAACATATTTTGTATATATTTTACTACACAGAATTTGGTCTTATGTAGTAGGTATTACAATCTGATACGCAGATGTATATGTCGCAGCATGCTGGTTAATAAAAATGCCATTAGTTATCATCTCTACGCTACCGCGGCGGCCGGCGCTACTTTCGTTATTTTAACAAATAGACAACAGACTTATGTCTGCAATTTCGTTATTTATTTTATTGTGAAAGAAGAGAATATAAGATCAGTGTTATTTTACCAACAGCCAGTTAATGTATCTGATAACACGAGCCTTCCCTATGATATATACTAAGAACAAATCGAATCGAATATCAAATAGAATTCATGACTCGTTCAAAGCGAATTGTATGATGATAAGTATAAAAAAAATAGAACATCTTTTTTAAATTAAGTCGGATCTATTTTTTTGAAAAATGTTTTTTTTTTATTATTTTTAGTGATACATAGGTATTTTTAGTGATATAAAATATTTTGTATACCTATACACTAAACTAAAATATTAAATATAATGTCCTATTTACAACGAAAGGCCAGAAAATTTATATTTATTTACACGACGTAAGCACTAATCGGTGAACATATATACTTGCATAAAAAATAATATTCTTAATATATATTATCGATAGTTCGATAGAAGTAGAGAAGCTTTCCCCGGGAAAGCTGAAGTAATACGAGGATCGGGTGGAAGATAAAAAAGAGTAAAGTATATAAGACAACTTTGCTTTATATCTACAAAAAGTATATTCACGTAAAGATATAAAAAGTACAATCTATGTAAAAAAGCACAAAGAATATATAGTACACAGATTACAAATACCTACTCGTTTCGAATATATATGTCGCATCATCATTACGAAGATCGTTTAATCTAGTTTCTTTTATTTTAATTGCTAGTTACTCGATTGTAAAGAGAACGTGATCATCGATACCCTTAATTTTATTAGAATGGTGACACTGACTTTGACAGTTCGTTAATAAAAAGCAAGTTGCCGCCGTTTGGGCAGACATTCTGTTTCGGATCGCCGAGGAGTAAAGACATCTGACGACATCACGCTCATCTCGTTATATTTTCGTGTGAAAAGTGATAAAATGGAACAAATCCACGTTGGTATACACGCCTGCAGTGTTATTTTAAAGATAGTCCTACGATATGGACGATCTGTTTGGGCTTCGTTATAGCCCATTCGGACTACCCGCCGTTATATAAATCTTTTGTTTTTTGCTGATATATCATCAATATTTATTTATTTTGTATCATCAATATATATTTTAGGTGCTATTTGAGGAAAGGCGTATTTTTTTTGTTGAAAAAAGAAAACGACTGATTCAATTTCGATAAAAATTTAAATGGGACCACCTCAGCCCATTAAGCTGTCGAATAAAAAAAAAAAGAATTTTGAACTTTTACTAAGAATTGTATGATTCTGAAATGTGTCGTCGTATCGGCAAGTAATTTCATTCTAAAATCATTGATATTTTGCTATCCTATGTGTATAGTGATCCTATGTCCCGTATGAACTCGTAAGTATTGTAGAATGAGTTGAATAAATAACTCTGATCGATGTTTACCATATGGTCACTGTCCCCTTTTTTGACCATTTGGAACTTCAAAGTGTTCTAACATTAATTACCATAAATGATTTTCAAAATTTTTCATAATGGAAAAACTAATTGCGTTAACAGCTATGATATATCAAAGATCACTTCATCGTAACTCTCAAAGTGGCCAAAATTAGTTCATAATCTTAATATGACCCAACACCTGGTCATCTGCCCTGCCTATGGTCAAACGTTGATTAATATATCATTAAATCAGTTTCAGGTAGCCATTTCATGAAAAACGTCCATAATATAAAATAGTCGGCCGCATCATTAATTCAACGATCTGGCCACGCCATTTAAGTAGGTATACCTACCTACTTACATGCGTTCTACAAGGTTATCAGCAATGCGATATCTAGTAAATCCTTTTCTGCACTAGCTAGTCTGGCCAATAAAAGACTTCGATGATATAACGGAGGCCTGATGTTTGACCAAAATATATGAGAGGGTTGGGGGGAGCAGGAAGGGGGTGAATTAGGTCACGGATGCAAGCTCCTGACACGAATAGCTGCGGCGTATCTTGCACGTGGCGACGTCGAGTCGTGTTACTTTAAAACACTCATATTTGTTCAAGCGTCAGTTTACTTACAATGACGTACAAAAGTCACAAAATGAATTAAAGGTTTAAAAGATGGATGAACCCCTATTTGTTTACGAATATATAGCGAATCTGTGGAGAGTAATGGTGGTCTAATCGCTAAATCGTCGGTCTATACTAAACCGCTAAAATTCTGAAAATCCCGTTGATCCCTATAAACTTTATTAATGTGTCTTTGCTTGTACCTTTGGCCCACCACACGTGCTCGGTATATAATGGTAGGTATTGACAACTATAAGAGCAGCCAAGGTTCAAATTGCTTTCCTATGCACAGAGGAGCTCGAGATGATGAATATTTGGTTATCCACCCCGATGAGCGGTCATTGCGAAAGTTGCTTAATTTTTGCGGCTGCACGTGAACCACTGTTTTAAAGAGTATGAGCCCTTAGGCTATTCATAGTGTCGTTGGTTCGATTTTCGTGTTCTAAATTTAACTAGTTTTTGTAATAGGCTACTTGACAACTTTTCTTTTATTTTCTAAATAAATAGTCTATTAATATGTTAGAAATAATGTAAAAGTAATAGAATGTTAGCGATTAATAATTTCGGAGATACGGTGCTGTGTTGTGGAACTGCTAGTCGACTGTAACCGCTCCCTACAAGTCGCATTAATACTCGTTTCAAAAATCTAAACTAAAATAAGTGTTTTTACTTTCAATCAAATCCTTTTATTTTTGAGAATTACTGATTCTTTAGAATATATGACAGGAAATGTTTGTTTATCTCATCATTGGCAACACAGCCTTTTCCTATGTATAAATTAAGCCATATAGTCTAAGAGGTCGTGAAAAAAAAGATGCAAAAGCTTTCGAAATTCACATTATATTGAAGAACAGGTACATCAGTTAGTACCCAGTGTGGAGGTCAGCAATGTAATGTGCATTATTTTTTGTAAATTAATTATTAAATTGGCCAATAAACTATTCATATTATAAGGAAAGAGACTAAATTAATCAGATTACACAATCGTGAAATGCGGCAATTCAGCAGATTTCAGACGTTGGTGGGAAAATGGGCTCCGAAAAAGAGAGCTCTTGCACATATTTGTTTCGAGTTCTCCGTCTAATTACCCACATGGGCACAGTGCTGGTTGGTAGATGATGACGATTGCACATTGCGGTACAAATTACTAAACGAGTCATCCGTAGTACGAAAGAGTTTGACATAATTGTTGTCGCCGAAGCACATTTTCATAATACTTACATACTCTGGTGCCATAAATAGTCTGTGGTATATTCATGTTGGTGTACTCTGTGGAAATAAAATGGATGCGCTCGGTTGAGAGCGCACTTTTTGTTCGGACAAGCAAGCGGTAAGATCTCTGGTATTGCTGTATCGTATGATTTTTGTATATCTGCCTTAGTTTATAATAAAATAGATTATAGTGATTTCTTATATAAGAACTAGAATTAGCGTTAGTGGTGAAGTAGTATGAAATAAATACGTAACTGTAAGATTGTGATTCGGTAATAAATGTATTCTTAATCTATATATTGGTGTTTAATATATGTCCTTATTATCAGAAGTGGGATTAAAACACGCAGC